CCAGCCTTGCGCTGGTGTGGACTTGTCTTTTTCTTGTTAATCTTAACTATACTGGTACCACCTACATATTAAAGATGAAGACATGATAAATAAGGCTAAAATCCTTGCTGCCCTGTTACTCACTGTTCCTCTTGCCTCTTTGGAAGACATCATTATTCCCAGTGTGAGATGAATCCCTTGAGCACTTTTTTGGTGCATTTAGCTGACTGCCTGGGACACCAGGCTCTCTGGCCACGGGCCTATTTCATGCTTTTCACAGGCAGAGAGGAGGCCAGCATTACTAATGTTGGAATATGAATTTTGTACCTGACCAGGTGTAGAGAAAGGGGGTCCCTGGTTCCTTGTAGTTGGTAGAGGTCACTGTTTGGACACCAGGGATGCTTGTGCTTCTAGGCCCATGCTCAGAGATTAATAAATGTGGTGATGTGTGATTAAAATGTGTTTTAAGCTGAATTTAGTTTTTCCCCTAAAAAACTGGCTATCATTTGAACTTGATTTTTTTGTGGTTCCAATTTCCTTACTTTCATTAGAACTTAAGAAGCATTTTCTCTTGCTTTCTGACATGTATTCAGTAGGAAGCAGCTAAGACAGGTTAGATTTATATTTCTTTGCCCAAGTCAATAAACAAGCATCTAAATCAGTGAAAAAATTCATTTAAAGTGAACTTTTATGAAATGAGTGATGGCACCCAGATTTCTTTTGGGTAACCTTCAATCAGTACATGGGGTTTGGGTGCTTACTTGCTGTTTTTGGCCTTGCAGCTTGGAAACGGGTTGAGGGCCATCCTTATTGTGAAAGCATCTTGATCTGGGAAAGGGTCTGGGGCTGGGAATCAGGAAATTCTTTTTTCTAAAAAGAGTTCTGGGTTGCTGAGGGGTCAGGAAGAAATAGTCACATTCCCTCTATGCTTCTGCATTCTAATCTTTTAAGAAACGAACAGCAAATCCTGTTCACAACTCTGTGGCACATGTGAATTAAAATGAAAGGAAATCTATAGAACTGAGGTTTCTCTTTTCCTGCCCTTGAATAGAGCTGAGTTCTTTAAGATCATTTACATTCTTGATATTTTAACTGTCAAGTGGAGACTGTACCTTCGTTTTATTATATATAAACAAAACCATCACCCCAAGTCACATTAGTTCATAGGTTTAATGCTGTGAACTGAAAGTGACCAGAGTATGGGGCAGCCTTTCTGGGATTCAGCCTTAAGAGGCCCCACAGATAACTTCCATCATCGCTTGCAAAGTGCCCTTGCTGGTGGTGCAGGTTGGCAGCCCTCTTTCACAAACTGTGCTTGTGCAAAGTCACCCAGCTGATGAGATAACAGGCCTGGGCATGGCATGTCTGTTGGCAGGGCACCTTCACAATCATCATCAAAGACACCTAGAGGCACTGTCGCATGCTGGTCAGGAACATGGACTTTGGGGTCATAAATGACCCTGGCCAAGTTACTTAACCCCCTGGGGTTCCATTTTCTTACCACATAACATGGGGTAATGATGCTGCCTGCCTTGGGTTATTTGTCTGATAAAGCACAGGGAGCACTGAGCAAAAGTATGTTACGTGGTAACCACTTATAATGTGATATGAACAACCATCATCCTTACAACCATCTGGGGTATAGGGACTGCTCCCCTCCATCACGGACTTGTTTTCTGATCCCCAGGTGATGATCCTCATCACAGGTGCTCACAAGGCATTTGCTCTGTACAAGGCCATCGAGGAGGGAGTGAACCATATGTGGACCGTGTCTGCCTTCCAGCAGCATCCCCGCACTGTGTTTGTGTGTGACGAGGATGCCACCTTGGAGCTGAAAGTGAAGACTGTCAAGTATTTCAAAGGTGAGAGAGGTGTGGGTCCAGGAGCAGGTGGTCAAGCTCAGGTGGTGCTAAGAGTCAGAATGAGATCCAGCTTTGATCCTCTGGTCATTTTAATTGACAACTGTAATCTTAATATCAAACTCAACTTCATCACACTACACAGTCATTTCTCTTCCGCCTGTGACTGCAAAGATCCATTTCTGGAGATCTGTTTGCTCTGAGAAAGAGCAATGTAAGAAAGAAAATGCAGCGTGTGGTCCAAGGACTATGTAGTGACCTCACAGTGCCATTAAGCCTCAGGTTTTCTCTTTGCAAATCTTTTATAGCTACTCCCCTCTAGGTGAGGCACTGAATTATCAGGAGGATCTTCCTCTCTTTTATTTTTTTGAGACAGGGTCTTGCTCTGTCGCTCAGGTTGGAATGCAGTAGTGTGATCTTGGCTCAGTGCAACTTCCACCTCCCAGGTTCAAGTGATTCTCCTTGCCTCAGCCTCCCAAGTAGCTGGGATTACAGGTGCCTGCCACCATACCTGGCAAATTTTTGTATTTTTAGTAGAGACGGGGTTTCGCCATGTACACCAGGCTGGTCTCCAACTCCTGACCTCAGGTGATCCACCCGCCTAGGCCTCCCAAAGTGCTGGGATTACAGGCGTGAGCCACCACACCCAGCCCTTCTTTTACTTTAAAAGGATGCATGTTGCTTGAATATCCTCCTTTACACAAGCAGGTCAATTAGTAATTTGTTCTTTGCTGAAAAGACTAACCTTTAAATAGTCAACTCCCATAGCGATTGAATTTATAAAAGTTCCATGAATATAGTACTCACTGTGAATAACTCTTCATAATTTAAGGGTGTTTATCATTTATCATAGAGAAAAGAGAGACGTGTCAGCTCTAAGACAAAATTTGAGAGCTCCTGGATATTATGATTGATAATCGAGGAACACTTGCCACTGCCTGAATTAACTACTTTTTGTTTTTAATTTTTTGTAGGTTTAATGCTTGTTCATAACAAGTTGGTGGACCCCTTGTACAGTATCAAAGAGAAAGAAACTGAGAAAAGCCAATCTTCTAAGAAACCATATAGCGATTAGCCTGTGCTGGGACCGAGTGTCAAATACCCATAGGGAAAGGCAGGTCTTTCTGGAAATTGTTTTTAGAAGAAAGAATTGTATTTCTTTAATCTAGCATAGTTACTCTAGATAAGTGGGTAAACTTATTATTCTTGGCTATAAGGCTGGGAGCCTAGTCATGGAGTTTAGCTATAGGGAGAATGATTTGTTTGTAACTTAATCAGAAAAAAAATTTCTGCAAAAATGTATTCCATAATTTTGATGTCTGCCAACCCAGGTTGGGAGTTTTAAACTTTTTGTTCTGCTTCAGCCATGGTTCACATGTACGACACACTCCTGTCAGGAATTTCTCTCCTTACATGCACTGATTTTCAAGTGGGAGGGAATTTAGGGACTTGTGTATATTGGACACAATCTCTGAAGGGTCTTGAGTCCCTCTCGCACAGGCCTGCCCCTTGGTTGAGAACCATTGTTCCAGGTTAAGGCACAAACTCTCAATATCTAAAGTAAGTGCAAGGAAGCAGTCTCTCTGGTCCGTAACAAGTGCAATGGAAAGAAAACGATCCCTTCCTTCCTTCCTCTAGTTGTTTTCCACTTTCACAGCTCTTCTCTGAACTGGGAGTGCTTGGGGGAGGATTTGGGTATGTGGGGCCAAAGAGGTGGCTTCTACTGATAAACCCAGAGCTTCAGGGGGCCCAGCCACGTCAAACTTCTCTCCTCCAGGGACTCTTCAGCACCAAAAGGAGGAAGGTGGAAGCCCTTTTCCCCATAGAGCCCTGCTGTTGTGAAAGGCCTCACTGTGGATCCTGTTTTATATGCTCATTAGTAAGTAGGTGGTCCACTGGGGCAATAGACACTGCCTCAATTTCAGTGTTGTGTTCAGCCAAGGGGACAGTTTGGGCAGGCAGCTTAAGTGTGAGTTTAGTCACAACTCCTGAGTGTCCCGCTCGCCTGCTTCCCTAGGAAGTGAGTGCCAGGAAAACACACCAACTGCTTCTAGTATTGTTTCCCCACTTAAAATACTTCTGCTCAGATTCACATGGTGTGGTCTGATCTTTTGCCCATTTATCCTTCTCCCCGGATCCCAAGGTGGTCTGTTGCTCTGGCTTCCTTTCATTCTTAGGCCTTCATGGAGTGGATGCTGCCTCCTCCTTGCTGTTTTTGTGCCTGTTTGAAGCTACTGCTGCCTCTGTTTCTGGGAAAGACCTTTTAGAGCCTGGCTCAGGCCTTAGGGCTACGTTTGGTACCTGTGTTTTGTCTTTAGCTTTTCTACGTCATTGTGCTGTCATTCTGTTTTAAGTTCATGGATCAATGGATTTGTTTACAATGTGATATTTTCTATTAAATCCAGTATTTTCAAATAACATGTCATTTGTGGATTTGAGCCCCAAATTTAGAAGACTCTCTGGGCTATTCGTATATTTTAGAATGAGCTGGTAAGCAAAGCCTCACACTCAGTCCTCACAAGAGCTTGCAGGAAGGCCACAGGCAGGGCAGCCATCTATTGATCTCTTCTTCAGTCATCAGAGTAAAAATAAGAGATTTTATGAAAATGAAGCACCTATATGAAAAAGGGTAGGAATGAACAGATGAGAAATAAATTGTCATGTTCTGGCTGTACCTGAGATCCAGATGAGGATACAGCTGTTATAAAGACTAAGGCAGATTCGTGATGAGGGTTAAAAAATTGCACAGTATGGAAAAATACATTTAGTTTTTTTTTTTTTAATATGATGAAATATCTTAGGTCAATATAGCCAATTAAGGAGGTAGGTGTAGAAGTTGGAAGAAGGGTTTAATTTTTTAACAATTTTGAGGCTGGGTGTAGTGGCTCACACCTTTAATCCCAATACTTTGGGAGGCCAAAACAGGAGGATCACCTGAGATCAGGAGTTCAAAACCAGCCTGGGAAACATAACAAGACCCTTGTCAAATGACATTAGACAAGCATGCTAGTGCATGCCTGTAGTCTCAGCCACTCAGGAGGCTGAGGTGAGTGGATTGCTTAGGTCCAGGAGTTCAAGACTGCTGTGAACTATAACTGCATCACTGCACCCCAGCTCTAGGCAACAGAACAAGACCCCATCTCAAAAAAAAAAGAAACCAACCAATTTTGAGATATAATTTACATGCTGATAAAATTAACATTTAAATATAAATCCAATGATTTTTTTGTTTATGGAATTGTGTACCTCCCTACCACAATCCTTTTTTTTTTTTTTTGAGACCCAAAAGTCTCACTGTGGTCTCCCAGGCTGGAGTGCAGTGGTGCAATCTCAGTTCACTGCAACTTCTGCCTCCTGGGTTCAAGTGATTCTCCTGCCTCAGCCTTCCCAGTAGCTGGGATTACAGGTGCGCACCAGCACATCCAGCTAATTTTTGTATTTTTAACAGAGATGGGGTTTCACCATGTTGACCAGGCTGGTCTTGAATTCCTGGCCCCAAATGATCTGCCTGCCTCGGCCTCCCAAAGTCCTGGGATTACAGGCATGAGCCACCATGCCCAGCACCACAATCCATTTCTTTCTTTTTTTTTTTGAGACGGAATTTTGCTCGTTACCCAGGCTGGAGTGCAATGGCGCGATCTCGGCTCACCGCAACCTCCGCCTCCTGGGTTCAGGCAATTCTCCTGCCTCAGCCTCCTGAGCAGCTGGGATTACAGGCATGCGCCACCATGTCCAGCTATCTTTTTGTATTTTTAGTAGAGAAGGGGTTTCACTATGTTGACCAGGATGGTCTCGATCTGTTGACCTCATGATCCACCAGCCTCGGCCTCCCAAAGTGCTGAGATTACAGGCTTGAGCCACCGTGCGCAGCCCACAATCCATTTCTATCATTCCCCAAAGCTCCCTACTCCTGACCCCAGTCCCAGACAATTACTGGCCTGCTTTGTGTCCATAGATTTACCTTTTCTGGTCATTTCACCTAAATGGAATCATGTGAGATAACATCTTTTGTGGCTTTTTTCACTAAGCATAACGTTTTTCAGGTTCACATAACACGAAGCAGTAGTCCATTCCTTTTTATTGCTGTATAGTATTTCATTTTGTGGACATACGTTTTGTTCATCCAATCAAGAAAGGTTTAAATTTTAAGTATGTTATAGAAAAGAAATTAACTATATTAAAATTAAACAAAAAAGGATTTAGTGATAACAGCTAAACTGGACATGTCTGTATGAACTTGAGATCTTAAATCTGATGTATTTCCCAAGTCTGTGTTTTCTTGGTTGCTCAACAGCACTATCTTGCTACAACCAGTGCTTATGTGTTTAAGTGGGATCTATCCCCCTGGGTCAGCTTGGGCCTCTAATATCAGGGCTCCTTGGACAGGAGCTAATCATATGTTTGGGGGCAGTGATCAGAGTAGGCCTGGAATATTTCGTTACTGGAAATAAGGGTACTTTCAAAAATGTCTGGAGCTGGTTGGGCGCAGTGGCTCATACCTATAATCCTAACGCTTTGGGAGGCCAAGGCAGGCACATCACCTGAGGTCTGGAGTTCAAGACCAGCCTAGCCAAGATGGTGAAATGCCATCTCTACTAAAAATACAAAAAATTAGCTGGGTGCAGCGGCATGTGCCTGTAATCCCAGCTACTTGCGAGGCTGAGTCAGGAGAATCGCTTGAACCAGGGAGGTGGAGGTTGCAGTCAGCTG